GAAGCAACAGAATGAAAGTTAATGAGGACTAATGCCAAATTCTGCATCTCAGAAAATGAAATCAAGTGCATTGTTACAAGATGGCTCAACAACGCTGCAAGCAAGAAGAATCCTGGAATTGTAGCTCACAAGTTGAAGAGGAGCCAAAAATATGATGTGGCTGCAAAAAGGGTAAATGCTATTTCAGGCTGCATTAATAGAAGTATCAGCACTGGTTAGGCCTCACCTGGAGTGCTGCGTCCAGTTCTGGGCACCTTGCTTTAAGAAAAATGCAGACAAGCTGGGAAGGGTCCGGAGGGGGGCAACAAGGATGATCCAGGGGCTGGAAACAAAGCCCTGTGAGGAGAGACGGAAAGAACTGGGCCTGTTTAGCCTGGAGAAGAGAAGACTGAGGGGAGATGTGATAACACTCTACAAATGCCACAAAGGCTGTCAGAAAAAGGAAGGGCAGGTGTTCTTCTCAATCACCCCAGAGTGCAGGACACGGAATAATGGGCTCAGGTTACAGGAAGCCAGTTTCTGGCCAGGTATCTGGAAAAAGCTGACCAGAGCAGTGTGGCGATGCAACCACGGACCCGGGGAGGCGGTGGGCTCTGCCCCGGTAGAGGCGCTCACACTGCAACTGGAACGCTTCCGAGAGGGATGGTTTAGCTCGGGGTCCGACACTCAGCAGGGGCTGATCCCGCCAGCCTTGGAAGCCCTGTGCTTCAGAGCAAGTCCCCTGCCAGGCCAGCCTCTCTGGCTTGCTGTTCGCAGGACTAGCCTGACCGGGAAACGGCGGAGACCGCCCTTTGCCTCAGGGGAAGAGCCCACCGCCTGTGACAGGCCTCCCAAGACGCACTGCCGTGGGGCGGGGGGGGGGGGGGGCTGAGCCAGTGCTGGCTCCCATGCGCAACCCCTCCATCGCGTCAGCTGCCCTGCTGCCCGCCCGCCCTCCCTCCCTCCCTTTCTCCAGGAGACTAGTGGCTGCCATTCGAGGGCAAGCAGGCCCCAAGGGAGGAGAGGGGGCGTGAGGTGGCGGCAGGAAGCAGCCCTGGGGCGGCCGGCCCTTCTCCAAGGCCGGGGAAGGGCAAGCGCGAGGAGCAAGTCGCCGCGGCAGCAAAGGCCCTGTGTGCGCAGCCATTCTGATGGCGCCAGGCGCTGAGGGGGAGCTCAGGCGCCAGAGGCCCCTCTTGGGAAGCTCACTCTCTCTGGCAGGGAGACACTCCGTCAACGAGCAAGGGCGGGCAGGAGCGAGGAAGTGGCGCCATTGCTTCTGGAAGAGAGCTGTGTTTTCGGCCGTGCACAGAGCCCAGCAAGGCACGTCAGCCTCATCCTGTTGGGTGCTGGGCTCCCTCCCTCCTCCTCTCCAAGCACATAGTCCCACAGCCAGAAGTAGTTTCCTTCCAGAGTACTGCTAGCAAAGGGATCGCCAAGAGAGGAGGGGCCTCCAAGGATGCGCAGAGCAGCCTGTCGAACCCAAGCTAAGGACAATAGCCAAGATGCCCCCTTTTCGGGCACCCGGGGCCCCACCCCTCTGGAGGTGGGCATGCCTCCTGGACCGGTGTGGCCCTGCTGGTGCTCGCCCTTCTCTCCCGGTGCCACACCAGGGGGCGGGGATCGGTCCAGGCTCCTCCTGCTCTTCTCCCAAGCCCCTTTCTGGCTTTTCCAAACCCTGCCAATTTCCAGGATCTGCTTGCACAGCTGGGGCAGCTGCCTTGAGATGAGCTCGCCCTCTCCTGCCCTCTCCGTGCCCACACGCTGCCTTTCCCAGTCCACCCGGTCCTCACCCAGAGTCGGTGCCACCCTGACCCGGCCTGCCAGGAATAACTGCCTCTTTCATTCCCAGCGCATACTAGGGACGGGCAAATCCATCCGTCTTGGCTTCTCTCCATTTCTCATCTTCCAAGTCTTAAGTTCTGTTTTCCCAAACTTTGAGAATTACAAGAGTATCCATATGCATTTTAGGGAGCGTTCATCTGAATCGATGCATATTTATATGAAACATCGCTTCAAATGGCACTGCTTCGTATTTGGAAGCAATTTGCTTTGTTGCCATTTCTGAATGCTGTTTTAACCCCTATATGTATTCTGCATGCATTTTTTAAAACTGGAGAATGCTAATCCAAGTTCAGGAAGAATGAATCTTGGAGGTGAGCAGGGCTTTGGCTCGTCCCTCGGTCCAGAACTGCAGAACCAAGCACATTGCTCCCCATACTGAACCTCACCCAAGGGCGCAGCAGCTTGGCCGGGCACCTGCCCCAGACGTGCCCTCCTCGCCTGCGCCGCCACCGGCTGGTGCGCCTGCCCTCGCCCAGGGAGCAGCGGTGGGGTGGAGGAGGCGGAGGGAGACGCCTGGCCGGCTGGTCCACTGGCTCTTGGCAAGCGGCAGCCAGAGGAAGCGGAGTGTGCAAGGGCGGCTGTGACGGTGTTGGCGGGGAAGCGGACGCTCCGAGGGAGGGGCGCACGGAGGGGTCTGCTCAGGGACCCTCCAAAACCTGAGCTGGCAGCAGCTGCTGCCACAGAGCCTGGGGAAGTGTCCTCTGAGCCACCAGATTCCAGAGCCAGCATTAGCATTTCGCAGCTCAGCAACACAGAATCGGGGTGCCTTTGATACTCGGGGCACCTGCTCTTGAGGATCAGCACCTCCTTTAGGGGATGCAAGAAGTGGCCCTCTTAACAGCGAGGTCACCTTGCAGGGACCAGAGGGGAGAGCCACACCGCAGGGAAGTCAACCGCCTGTGCACCGTGGGAGGCTGGGAGGCGGCCGGCGGCATTTCCAGGCAGAGCCTGCCGGGTCTCTGAGGGAGGACTGCGACCTGGCCGCAAGCCGCCTGGAGTCGGCGCAGCTCCAGCGCAAAAGGGAGGCGGCTCAGCTCCAGAAAAGGGCAGGGTTAGGGTTAGGGCGGGGAAAGCGGCCGAGGCCCCCCAGGCAACGCGAACTCTCCCCCTGGGGCAGCAGCTTCTGGTGCTCTGCGCAGGGGTCGGGGCGCCCTCTGCTGGGGATGCATCTCTTACGTCCAGACTAGGAGAGCCCGGGACAATTTGTCGCAGAATAGCGCCGATCCCTCCCTACCCGCTCGGCATCCCCAGCATTGCTGCTCTTGCGCCTGCAGGCCCGGTGCCACCCGCCCTCCCCCGTCCCTTCCTGAGGCCCAGGAAGCTTGGCTTTTCCCGCTGCGCCTCTCTGTGCTCCTCCATCCCGCCCCCCGGAGGGGGATACCGCTGGTGCCAGGAAGGCCCGGGCTGGCCCGGAGCTCGGCAGGGACGGCGGCTGGGCACGCCACGGCCCCCTCTGAGGCCGGCCTCCGCGCAGGCGCTGCAGCAGGGAGGGCGGCTTCCACATGGCGAGTCCCGCACGGCGAGCGACAGCCGGAGCATGTGGCTCGGACGCCCGTCGGCCTCGATCCTGACGGACTGGCCGCTGCATGGCTCGTTCGCCCCAGGCCCCGCTCCTCCTGCTCCGTGCACACGTGCGCGCGCGCCCCGCTCGGTGCCCGCCCAGCGCAGCCTCCGGGCCGAACAGCCGCTCCTCGACGGGCAAAATGCTCCTCCGCATCGGCCGCGTCCTCGTGAGCGGCGGCCCAGGAAGCGCCAGTGCAGTCCCTCCGGCCGGCAGGCCCGCTCCCTCTGCACCCCTCGCACGGCGCGAAGCCCCTTCTGCAAAGATGGGGAGCAAGCCCGGCCCTGGCCGGTTCCCCTCGGAGGAGGAGGCGCGGGGGCCGCGGCGCCCAGCCGGGGAGCGCCGCAGCCGCCCCGAGGCTCAGCGAGCCAGCACGTCTGTGCTCCTCACGAGACGGAGGCAGCTCCTTCGCCCCCGGGGCTGCCTCGCAGGGGCCCCCGCCCGCCTTCCCGGCGCCTTTCCTGCCTCGCCTCCGCCGCCCGCCGCTCTCCAGCCGGGCGCTCCTGCTTCCGGGCCATTCGCGCAGCGGCGCGCGCCACTGCTCAGCGCTTCCCGAGGCCAGCGCCCCCTTGCAGTCCCCGGGACGCGGACTGCGGGCGGCGGAGAGCGGATCCCGCGGAGAAGAGGCTCTCCCCCGCGCAGCGCTTCTTCCGCGGGACTCTGGCTCGGGCGGGTCCCCTCGCCGTTTCCGGACAGCCGTCACGGCCGAAGGTTTCCAGGGTAGACCCGATGCTGGTACGACGGAGCCGTCGGACCAGATTCCACCTAAAGCAGCCTCGCCCAAGTGGGTGCTCTGCAAATGGGCTGGATCGCAATTCCCATCATCCACCACCCGGTGGTCACACGGGGAATCCCTGGGGAAACGGTGATATTACACGCGGAGGCTGGTGCCGCACTTCGCAAAGCGCTTTCCCAGGCGCTGCCATGCGAACCCCGAATGGTCTCCAAACATGAACCTCTTGAACTGCAGAGCCTGCTTGTAAAACCTGGCCCGTTCCTTCGCCTGCGACGTGCCCCCTCCCTGCGTAGCCCCTGGATGCTGCGGGCGGGGCGGGTCCTTCGAGCGCCCCGGCGCTGCTCGGGGCCGCCTCTGTCCGGCCTCGGGGCGCGCGGGCTCCCGGCGGCGCCCCTGCGCGGCAGCCGTCCCCGCCGGCGACCCCGCGCTCGGCGTCCGCGCACGGAGCGGCTCTGCAGAAGGGCGAGGACGGCAGTCGCACGGCCGGGCGGCCGCTTCCCCGGAGTGGGCGCAGAGCCGCTCCTTGCGCGGGGAGCGGAGCCCGCCCCGCGCAGTGGGCGGGATCGGCGCTTTCACCTGATGTGGATGTCAGGCCCTCCGCCGCCACTTCCCTCCCCTTCTCCCTTGCAGCCGCAGCTCTTCCAGAAAGTGAGCGTAAAGTTAGGCAGCGAGGAGCGAGAGCGCGGGAGGCGAGGGGAGGCGAGGGGGGAGCTTTCCGAGAAAGGCGCCCCCGCGCGCGCGCCCCCGGCGGCCGCCCGCTGTGCTGCTCTGGACTTGACCGGCGCCGCCTTTCCCGCTTTGCTCGCAAGGACCGCCTTGGATGGAGCCGGTCGCGCCGCGCGCTTTCTGACCCGCCGCCTGGAAAGGCAGTGCCAGGGCGCGATGGGCAACTGCGTGAAGTCTCCGCTGAGAGACCTCTCGAGAAAGGTACGTCCCGCTCGCGGACCCCGCCGCGCTTGCCCCGGCCCGCCCCGAGCGGGTGGTGGCGCCGCGGTCGGCGGCAGGTGGCGTGCGCGGTGGGAGGGCTGAGCGGCGGCCCCGGAGCTCCCCGCGGGGGAGGCGACGGCCGGACGCAGCTCGAGCGCGGACTCTCCTCGCTGTGCACGTGCGTGCGCAGGAGGGCTCCGTCCGCGTGCACCCGTGTCAGCGAAACCGCTCAGCCGCGCGCGCACGCACGCGTGCAGCCCGGGCGAGTCCCCGGGCACTGCCCTCGGCCAGCGCGCTTGGGAGGGCCCGCAGGCGCTCGCCGCTCGGCACAGCTGCCGCTTGCCCCCGCGGGGCTGGCGCAGGAGAGCCGCCTGGCGGATCGCGCCCTGCGCCGTCGGCCGGGAGCGCGTTCCTTTCCGGCACACGCTCAGCGCCTCCTCCGCGGTGTGCGGCCGCCTTCTCCGCACGACGCCGGCCAGGGATCCGGGGAGCCCAGCGGAGGGATCCGCTGCGCTCACGGGAGCAACCGGCCGGGGCGGCGCCGTTTGCTTCGGAAGCGCTGAGGCGCCGGGTTTGCTCCGGCTGCTGGACCCTCACCAGGAGTGAGGGGGTGCGCAGACTCCGCTTGCCATCTCTCCGGTTCGTCCCAGGTGTTTGGACGGCTCTCCATTTCTTCAGTCTTGCCTCCCAGGAGAATATAGGTCAGTCACGTGGAATGTACGTCCGAATCCTGGTTTAACTCTGCAAATCCTCTTCATACTGGATGTTTTCAGTGTTGGACACAGGCTGAGTTTAGGGAGTGCCGATTTTCATGCATCCTCCTTCACTCCTACGACTGTTATGAAGAGGGGCCTCACTGGGTGGTCCACGCTTGGTGCAGGCAAGATCAGGGAAGGGAAGGAGCAGGGCCTTCTCCCGGTTGGCTCCTGCTCTTTAGAATCCTTTGTTAGAAAGCCTCATTAGGACATATATATTTGCATTTCAGTGCCCAGTTGAAACTTTTTCATGAATACTCCAAAGCATTTTAAATAATGGCTGTCATTATGTTCCATGTTTAAAACTGGGCTCATTGGTTTGCAGTGGGCGCTTTAGTCTATAATGGCTGAGGTTTTAACGAGAGTATAACGGGTCTGCTTTATTAAAACAGCAGTACACTGGATGCTTTGAAGATGAGGAAATACTAGAATCCCGGGGGGGGTGAATATGTCAGATTTTCCCTTCCCCAGACGATATGAAGTGCTTGCTATCTGGCGCTCAGCCTGCAAGGCAGGTGCAAGCGTGCTCACAAATGTGCTCAGGCGAGCGCTTGCACTGTGGGATCCAGGGCTGTGCGTGTGCGCAATACACAGGCATGCCCATCTGTGCAGGTGTGAACTGTTGTGAGCTCTGGCAACCATGTGCATAGGCCATAGGAACCAATGTATGTTCACTTGTGCCCTGTGTGTGCGCACAAATGTGCATATATTAGCCGAGAGGCACAATGGTGTCCGCAGGCAAAGTGACCAAGGCGGGCATCTGTATCCGCACGCCTCCAGGTGGCAGCCTTCCCTAGATGAACATGCGCCTGCCCATGCACATGAGTCTCGGCCTCCCCACATGTGTGCATGGCCTGTAAATGTGCCCACTTCCGAACTTCTGTGCAGGTGTTTTGTGTGTGTCGGGGAATGGCAAGGGGGCCGCGCTGCGCTCAGACTGTTTTGCTGGCACAACCACGGGGGGGGGGGGGGGGGGGGGGGGGGGGGGGGGGGCTGCCTGTGGGAGCGGCCCCTGAGGGAAGTCTCCCTGGAGCCAGCGAGAAGCCACAGAGCTGCTGGCCTGCAGGGCAGCCTGGCACCCCCCGATGTGCCGCCTGCAGCTCCCGTCGCTCCCAAGCAGCCACGCCAGGTGCCTCCTCTGGAGCCTCACGCTGCCCTGCCCCCGAGAGGCCGGGACCCGTGTGGGACCCTGGGCGGCCAGCTGGCCAGCACGTCCTAGTGCGGGAAAAACGAGAGCGGGGCCTGCGGGTGGAGGCCTGGGGGGCGGGGGTTGCTCTGCAGGGCTGGGCTAGCGGCTCGCTGGTGTGCCTGGGCCAGTTGTGTGCCCCTGTTGGACTCCGGTGCTGCAAAGACCACGTCAAACAGTATTTTTAGGGCTGTAGCTGAGATAATTTAAGCGCTCCTGAAAATGAATGTGTGTATGTATGTAGCAAAGACCTTTCCCACCTGGGCGATCCTGGTCAGGGAACCAGGATTAGCTGTAGCGTCTTGACGGAGGTTCATGCCAGCCCAGACTTAGGGTCAATTGTATTTTCTGGGTTGGTTTGCACAACACAACATTTCATTGTGGGCTTGTTTACCTGTGAGGAGCCACGGCATTGTTAGGAACACACGGCCCCCAAACAGGGCTTGCCATGAGGGCTCCTCGAGGGTCAAACATGACCGGTGCTTTGCTTTAGGATTACGCTTAGGCTGAGGAGGTCTGACACTTGCATGTCCGGATGGTGGCCTGCACACGCTGCGGCCTCTCAGCGGTGTGTCACCCCACGAGGCCGTCGTGGCATGAAAACGCGGCGACGGTGCAGTGCCTTCCTGAGCCATGCTGGCCCCTTCCCAGTGGCTACGGCCGTGCTGGCTGGGCGCGACCGCCTTCTCTTGCCGAGAAGCCTGGGGAGGCAGCGGCCTCATGCCCTTCCTGCTGGAGGGGCCCTGTGGGTGGAGTGCGGGGCAGAGGAACCCCTGGTCTGATCCGGCGAGGCTGCTCCCATGCCTTGAGCTGTGGCTGGCTGGGGCCTCTGTGTTTGAGTTGCAACATCCCAGAGGATGCCGTGAGGGTCCTTCTGGGTTCCGTCTGTCTGCTTCACTGGCATACCAGGAAACACGCCCACCCCAGACAGCTGCCCTGGTTCTGGCACAGGCCAGGCAGCTCAGGCCGTGCAGGTGCTCAGTTGCCTTCCTTGCATGCAGAGAGCCCCCTCCCCGCAGTCCTGGCTGCCACTTTAACAGTGATCCAGGGACAGAGCAGAGGACCCCTCCCCGCACCCCCATGCTGGCTCCTGTGACACTGATGAGAAGCAAATGAGTGACCCCCACCCCTCCCCTCCCCTGGTGCAGAGCCCAGCATGGCTTTCACAGCTCTGCTTTATCCTCACTACAGCCACCCTGAGAGCGGCTCAGGCAGAGCAGGAATGGCTGGCCCAGGGACACCCAGGGGCTTCAGGGCAAACGGGGACTGGAACCCGGGTCTCCTGGGTCCCCCGTCCAGCACACACTGCCTCTCATAAAATACCAGCACCGAGGAATGGACCACGGGCTGGCAAAGCCCACGCGGCATCCAAACGGCGCTTCTGCAGCTTGCGCACTAAGTGAGGGTGAGCCGAGGAACAGGGCCGCAAGGCTTACTTGGTGGCTCATCCAATATTTCCGGCAGTTGTCAGGGCCAAATGTGATGCTGGCGGAGCAAGGCACGGACTACGCTCCTGGGTGGTTTTGCTTCTGTGGCATGCATGTCACCAGAGAGGAAAAAGCGGGGTGGGGAGGAATGTTCTTTCTCCCAAGGAGTGGAGCTTTTGGGTTTTCCAAGCTTCTTGCACTCTCTTGAGAATCCCTTAGGGAAGGTTCAGGGAGGCTGCCCAAGGAAGACCTATATATTCTTCAAAAGTATTTAATCCATTAATTGCTTGAGGAAAAGGTTATGAAACCAATGCAATTGCAAAGCAGCAGACAACCCCGATACCAGTGTGCTTTTCCCTGGACCTCTGCTGGATGAGCTGTAAGGCTGGCGACAGGAGACTGTCTGCCCTGGCCCAAGATCAGTGGGCTGCCCAGAGCAAGTGCGCACCACCGCCCCTCCGCTGCCTCCGGCGAGAAAGGCTCGGCTCGGTTGTGACAGGCCACGTGTGCTTGGATGGTGGGGCAGAGAGTGACAAAGCCTTCCTCCTGCGCTCCTCCCTGTCTTCAGAACGGAGTTTGTCAGCCCGGAGAGACTCTCCTCCGGTGGAGGAGGACACTCCCCGCCTGCCTTGTGGGCACCGCTCTTCCTCTCTGGTGTGCCTTTGTGGCTTCGGGTGTGAAGGGCTTGATGCTTGGCTTGCGTCGTCTCGACTCAAGGCTGCGTGTTTTGGCTGCTGCCTCTCTTTGAAAGCCCAGCCACCATCGAGTGGGACGCGCCATGCGGAAGCACACGCTGCTGTGAGCACAGCTGGGCAGGGAAGCCTGTGCGTGGCGTGGCGTGGCCGCACCGGAGGGCGCTTGCTGCCCCTGCGGTGGGGCCCTGGGGGAGGAGATGGCTGGCAGTGGCCGGGCGGCTCAGGGGAGAGGCGCTCTCTGCCCCTGCTGAGCGGAGTGGCGGGCCGGTTCATCTGCACTGCGTAATGCCAGCGGTTCCCAGGAGCACGGCTGGCTTTTTATAGCTGCGCAGGAATGTCGGGAGGAACGCGCTCCTGCTTAGCCCACAAGTGGCGTGGCTCTAAGGCGAGTCAGTGGCTCTTGGCGGTGCTGGGACTCTCCGTGTGGGATTCCGCTCTGGGCCCCAGAAGGCCCCACGCTCAGCCTGACCAAGCGGCAGAAGGGATGTGGGTTTTGGCCTGCCGCAGGCCCCCACCAGGCCATACCCGCTCATGGTGACCACTGATTTGCTGAAAGGAAATCTACAAGGCCACAAATCCTTGTTCTCTCAACGCTCAGAGTCGCACTGCTGTGCAAAGAGCAGCTCCTGAGATTCTGCGCAGGCACCACCTCTGGTTTGCTGCCTTTGCAACCTTACAGGCAAGAAGCTGAGATTCTGGGGGTGCGGGGTAGTAGAGAAAGCCCCAGTTCTGAGTGCTTGGAGCTGGGAGGGGAACAGCTGAAAGGCGGAAGGCTAGCGGGGGCTGAAGGCTGGCAAAACTCGTTCAGAGTGGCAGCAATTCGCCAGACCGCCTCTGCTGCCCGAAAGGCAGGCAGTGGTGGTGGGAAGGGATCTGGCCTGAAGCCGCCGGTGGGCCGGCCAGCAGCAGCAGCAGCTGCGTGTGCCGAGCACCTCAGGAACGCCAGCAGCGCCCCTTTCCACGATCCCCAGTGCATTCTGCAGCAGCTTTTTAGGCGGTGATTTGGGGTGGTGTTGGTAAAGGAAGGGATGCACTGCAAAGTAGACCTGTGCGGCTTTTTAAAAAGTCTGCTGAAAAGCCAACAGCCTCCCTGAAAAGCACGGGCAGGAGGCACAACTGAGAGGAAACCTGGAGCAAGCAGGTGCGTAAGGCAAGTGCCAAGCCGGGTTCTGACAGAAGGCAGAGGAGCTGCGGCCGGCACTGCTTCAGAGTCTTGTCCGCCTCCCCCTCTGGCGGCTTCCGTGATCACTGACAGGATCCGAGCAGGCCTGGGAGAAGCAGGGAGGTAATGCCCTCTCTTGTGTTGTTTGCTTGCTGCCGGTTTGGCTGGGAAGATCCGCCATGAGGAGAAGACTTGCTATAAGGCAGTCCAGATGAGCGAGGAGGGGCCACCGGCCAGCGAGTACCAGGGTCCACTCATGGTGCTGGCCCAGAACTGCGCGGTGATGCACAACCTGCTGGGCCCAGCGTGCATCTTCCTGAGGAAGGGATTCGCAGAAAACAGGCAACCAGTACGTAAGTGGCACCCGGGCGGGCGAGATGCCCGGAGGGTGTGGAACTGTGGGCCACGCGGGACAGAGCCGAGTGCATGCGCCACCCGGGCCTCAGAGACCTCCCCCCCCCGACCGAGAGCAGGCCGGCCCCCAGACCCAGTGAGCTTGCTGCTGAACACCCAGGCCTTCGGGCGCCTCTTCGCAGGAGGACCCCAGAAGCCTTCTGCTGGGAGGCCACCACCCCAGGGGCCGCTTTGGGTGGGCGGGTTCTGGGGCTGGTCTGGCCAGCAGGGCAGGATACCTGGCTAGCCCCCGAGAAGCCCCCTGGCATGAGCCCCTTTCAATACCCAGGCAGGCGTGCTTGCGGGGGGCCTCAGTCCCAGGGGCCCTCACACGCCCTCTGCCACTCAGAGTGGCTACCCAATCTGCCACCCCCTCTGCCTCACGGCAAGACTGGCGCCACTCCCAGCTCCGCCGCTTTGCCAGTGTCGAATCCTGCTCTGCCCATGTGCTGTGCCCCCTCGGGGCTCGCAAAGCCTTTTGGGGGGCCCCACAGAGGAGAGGTGGGCACCTGCCGGTCTTCCTGCCTCTGCCCCGATTGCAACCAGGCAAGCTGCCGCTCTCCCATGAACATGCGCCTGGCTTCCCAGAGCCGCTTTAATGAAAGTGGAAGATGAGGACTAGTATGCTGCAGCAGCTCTTGCAGGGCGGGGCCTGGCTCAGCAGAGGCTCCTCCAGCACGGAGGTGCTTCTGTGGCCCTTGGGAGACCTCAGCTCGGCCTGCCTGCTGGCCCTGACTGGGCACACACCGCACACAGACGCACTCACAGGGCCAGAAGGGGTGGGGGGCGGTGGGGACCCCCGGGGGACCTGCAGCGCCAGCAGCCAGGAGGCTGAGGAGAGGGGCTGGGAGCGGGACAGCTGTGCTTCTCTCCCACCGGGGTCCTGGAGTGCCCGGAGGGGCAGTTCTGGAGGCAGCACTGCCCGCCTGAGCAGGAAGCAGCGCATTTCCACCCGTGGCTCATTCCCCCCACTCACTGCAGCCGCTGGAGTTCTCTTCTTTCTCCACCCTCCCTGCGCCCCTCCCACCCGCGCCTTGGGAAGAAACAGCCCCACGGGCCGCCTGAGGCCCTTCCCCACGGCAGGCGAGCCTTCACTCTTTCTTCTCTCTGTGGATGCCGGAGCTTCTGTTGTGGGCCGCATTGCTGCCCTACCCTCTGCAGGAGGGGCCAGGGGGGGGCACAGCCCTCCCCAGGGGCCTGCCCTCTCTGAGCACCCCAGGCAGCCCCAGGGGCTCAGTCGTGCCTGGAGCAGCACACAGATGCTCTGGGAGGTCCTGCAGCTGCTCACAGTGACTCTTCTTGGGAACGGGGCATGCGCTCGGCACTTGCTTGGCTCACTGGAGCAAAGAGTCCCGGAGACCTGGAGCCCTCTGGTGGGGGATCCTCCACACGCTCCCAGAGGCAGCTCCACCTGGTTTCCCAGTCGGGGAAGAGCCCCTGGCCAGGAGGTCAGCGCAGGCGTGCCGCGTGCATTGGGCCCCTTCGGCCCTTGCAGCGGGTTCACTCCTTGGTCCCGGAGTGTCCTGCTCTGTGAACATGAGGCCCCGGGCTGCACCCAGGTCAACTGCTCCAAGGAACACAATCCCTGGAGGTGGCGAGGCCGCAGAAAGACTCCTCTGCTTCTGCCCATTGGATCAGCGTGGCCTTCTCCAAGCTGGCGCCCCCCAGGTGTCTGGAAACATGACTTCCAGCATTCCCAGCCAGCCACTGGCCACGGGGAAGGGCCCCCGTGCCCCCCGGCCACCCCCCTTCTGCACTGCCACTGCTCCCCTGAAGGCACTTTCCGCAAAGGGACTGCTTTAATCATACCGATGGTCTTTCCTTGTAGGACAGAGAGCTGCGACCAGAAGAAATCGAAGGTAAGGCACTTTCCTTCTGCGGATCGGACGGACCGGGGGATGCCGCAAGGGGAGCCGCCCGCTCGTGGGCAGAGTGCCAGCCACAGCTGCCTCCCACCTGCATGCCCAGCGGTGGCGAGCCACAGAATGTTGTGGCCAGGAGGCGACCCATGCCCCATGGCTGGGGGCACCTGGGGGGACTTTACCCAGAGCCGGCAGCAGGTTCTCCTGCTCTGAGCCTGCTACCCGCCTCTGCACTTCAAGCAGGAGCGCTGGAAGCTCGGCTGCTGCCCTGGGCCCTGCGCTGGGAACGGTTCTCTGGCGGCGGCACCGGAGCCTCGCTCCGGGAGCACCCGTGCGTTCCGGGTAGCGCCACCCAGGGGCAGGAGCCTACCTCCGGGGGCTCCCCGCAGGCTCCTAAGCGAGAGCCACGCCGGTGTTCCCACAGGGTTTCCTTGTTGGATGCTCCAGGCATGGTGCGCGTGGAGGGTGAGGATCATACGGCCAGAGGGGAGGGCCGGGAGCCAGGCGGCCGGGTGGCTTGGAAGCAGCAGTGCCCGGGCGAGCCCCGGGAGGCCTCTGCTGTGCCGCCTGCCGAGGCTCAGCCACTTTGCAGCTGCCACCCTGACCGCCCAGCAGGCCCGATCTGGCCCTGGGGCAACGAGGCTGCCCACGCCCGTGAGGGCGTTGTCGGCGGCTCTCTGTGCAAAGAGGAGGAGCACGTGCCAGCAGGAGCCTCAACAGACCCTGCCCACAACCCCGACCAGAGGGGGGCACCACTGAGCACAGGTGCCTCCCGTCCCTCCCCCGGGGGGGCGGGCTCTTTACAGACAAGCTCGGCTTCGCCCTGTGGGTTCTCCTTAGCCACCACAGATGCCATTTTTTACACTTTTAAAGTTCCTGGCACCTGCAGAGTGTGTAGCCCTGCAAAAGTGCCCCCCAGGCCTCCCAAAGTCGCCTGCCCAAAACATGCTCCTCCAGTCCAGGGCATTCCCAGTGAGGCTGATGAGCAGGAGGATCGCTTCCTCCCGGGGCATGTCCGGTCCAGGCAGGGGCGGTCCAGCCCTTGTTCCGCGCAGTTCTCCACATTTTGCAGGGCTGAGATTGGCCATGTCACTTGCAAAAGTGGCAGCTGGAGAAAAGCAGAGCTCCTGCGAATGCCATGGGCGTTGTAAGCTGCCCCGAGACTTCTGCGAATGGGGTGGCATAAAAATGTTTAAAAAAAAAAAAACAGCTCCCTGGGTGACGTCCAGCACTTGCCCGCCTCCCGGAGGACGATCCCGCAAGTGAGTGGCTGAGACCAGACGTCCACCCGCTGCACCCTTAGCTGCCCCACTGCGGTGGCTCCGTGCAGCTGCAGCCCTGCCTGGGCCCCTGGCCGCCATCTCCGTGTTGGAGGCCCTGTGCAGGCCTGGCTGCCGCAACCCAGCACCCACGCGAGCCAGGGCGGTGGTCCGTCGTCCGCCGAGGCACCTGCCCCCCCCCCCCCCCCCCCCCCCCCCCCCCGAGAAGGCCCCAGAGCAGCGCGCGTCCTTGCTGGCAAACCCGTCACTGAGGAAGTGGGATGGTTCCTGCGATTTGGCTGGCGGGCCGTGCGGTGCCCCCCCCCCCCCCTGACGGGCCGGCCCCCGGCTTGGGTTTGCCCCACAGAACTGAGGGAGGCCTTCAGGGAGTTCGACAAGGACCGCGATGGCTACATCAACTGCCGAGACCTGGGCAACTGCATGCGCACGATGGGCTACATGCCGACCGAGATGGAGCTGATTGAGCTGTCGCAGCAGATCAACATGAACCGTGAGCGAGCGCCGCCCCGCCCCAGCCACGCCATCTGCCTGGCAGGCCTGCCTCTCCCCCCCAGAGAGCCCTGGCACTCCCACTGCCAGCGCTGCGCTGGGGTTCGCTCTCAGCATCCCCTGGCTGAACGCCTGGAGTGGGGGGCGGGGGTGGGGGGCACCCACGCAGCAGCTGTCTCTCCTGGGAAGAGGGGCCCCCTGGCGTGGGTGGGCCTCCCCACCTGAGGCCCCCCGGCTGCAGCGTGCAGCAGCCCCGGAGGGGACCCCTGCGGCCGCCCGCGGCACTTTCGCGCCTCGCCGCTGCCTGCCCTGCCCTGCCCTGCCCCCCCACGCAGGACTGCCTTCACGGCTCCCGCGCAAGCAGGCAGGTGGCTGTCGGAAGGGGAGGAGGGGGCCTGCTGGCTCCCGTTGCGGTAGGCACACGCCTCTCCTCAGCAGCCACGGAGGGGAAAGGAGCGGTGCCAGGAGAAGGGCCCCAGAGACTGCCCTCCTGACTGGACGCCTCCCCCTCAGCCCCCCTCCCGCTGCCCTTGGACCCTCAGACCAGGCAAGGGGGCTGAAGGGCGGCCAAAGCTGGCCAGCCAGGGCTCCCCAGAGAGCCCTGGCCCTCCCGCCTCCTCCATGCCCGCCTGGATGTTCACCCTGCCCACCCGGACTCCTGCCCCCGAGAAGAGCCTTCTCTCTGCCTCCCACATCCTCGGCCTGATGGGCATCGGAGAACCACCTGGGTGGCTGGAGGAACGTCCCCTAGAGAAACCGTGGGAGGCCAGCCCGCCGGGCCCGGCATCAGGGATGCAGATGTGCCTCCTGGCTGTGAATCCGGCTTGAAGGGGACACCTTGAATCCCGGGAAGGCACCACGTGGCCTTTGCTCCATGCTCTGTCGAGCCCTGAAGCTGCCACAGGCACTGCAGACGCCCGCCTGGCATGCAGAGCCCCAAAGGGGGGAACACGCACTGACGTACGAGGAACAGTCCCAAAGGCAGAAGTCTGGGGCTTGTGGAGACTGACTTATCATTTCCAGTAACTGGTTGGGCCACTTGCGGCCCTCCAGTTGTGTCGGCCTACAACTCCCATCAGCCCTAGTCAGCAGAACCAATGGTTTAGAAACGATGGGAGTTGTAGGTCGACACTCTGGAGGGCTGCAAGTGGCCCACCCTTGTTCCGTAGCATTTAAAGTGGACCCATCATAATTCTGGTAGACGTGACACTTTACCTTTGCACGCACGTGTTTGTCCATACGTTCCCCCTTTGCCTCCTCCTGCCACGTGGCGGAAGGCAGTGGATGTCGGCTGGGGGAAGGGCAAGGCCACGCTGAGGTGCACCCCCGCTGCAGGCGCGCTCTGGCACGTGCCGGAGAAGCAGCCCCTGCGTCCTTCCCACCGGCTGAGGCCATCAGGGGGGTGCGAGGAGAGGTGGCTGCAGTGCTCTGCAGGGAGCACGGGCGCTGAGCGCGCGTGTGGCTGCCCTTGTGCTGATGAATGCTTCCCCCCTTCTGTCCCCAGTGGGTGGCCACGTGGACTTTGAAGACTTTGTTGAGCTGATGGGACCAAAGCTGCTGGCAGAGACAGCAGACATGATCGGGGTCAAGGAGCTGCGAGACGCCTTCAGGGAGGTGAGGACTGAGCTGCACTGAGCTCGTGGGTCCCCGGAGCCCCGGTCTGATGCGGCAGGGCCGCTCCTGCACCAGCCCCCCCCCCCGCCCCCCAGGCTTGCATGCCAGGGCAGAACCCCAGGCGGCTTCGGCCGAAGGCGTCCTGCAACCCCTGGCGTCCCCCAGCCAGCTGGGCCCCACCTTTTCTCCTAAACTTCATAAGATGGTGCCTTGCATGTTTTTGCAGAGCAAGCCACCTTAAATTGACTTCTCCCAAAGGCAGGTATCAAATAAATTAAATAAATGCAAGGATAAACTTTAATCAGACAGAACCAGGGTGGGGGCAATGACAGTGCCCGTGCCTTCTCCTAGTTTGACACCAACGGCGATGGAGAAATCAGTACCAACGAACTGCGGGAAGCGATGAAGAAGCTGCTTGGACAGCAAGTGGGTCACCGGGACATTGAGGAAATAATACGGGACGTTGACCTGAATGGAGACGGGCGAGTGGATTTTGAAGGTGAGAAGGGGGGGGGGGCCCACCTCATCCGGCTCTGGAAGGCAAGGGCCAGCCGCGTTCCAAGCAGTGTCCCCATCAGAATGGTGAGAGGTGCATGAAGGACGCCCAGGGCTGAGAGCAGGCCTGGTCTCGTGGGGATTCCTCAGGGGAACCCGATCAGGCCCACGGGCTGGAGGTTGCCTTCCCTGCTGTATGCTGTTACACCAGCAGGACTTTCACTAAAAAGAAAGCCCAGCTACATTCTCTGGTAACCTCCTGTTTGGATCAAGTTCTGACAATACAATAACCCAAATTTAAGGGTTGAGTGTCAGTTCTTGTTGAACTGTGGATAGGTGTTGATACATGGGTTGTCATGCTGTCTGAATCCAGCCACACTAGCAAACCATAATTTGTCAACCAGGAAGAGAAATCCATAAAGAGCATTGATGGTTTCTTGTTGGATTGCAAACTATGGGTTGCTTGTGCTTCATAAACTATGATTTACTAGTGTGGCTGGGTTCATGATAACCCATCTTACAATAACAACCCACGATTCAAAGAAAACTCATTAAAGTGTTGAAGGGTTATCATGTTGTCTGAACGCAATCAATGTGTTGCATGTGGGGCTGTTTTTGAGAACTGTCTGGAAACTTCAGCTAGACCAGATGAGAGCAGGGAGATCAGTGGGGCTTGGTCCATTTCCACACCCAATTCAAAGGACTGGTTTTAACTCTAAAAGCCTGAAAGGGCTTAGCACCAGGCTGCCGGATGGACCAGCTTCCCATACATGCATGACCAGATCGTAAGATTATCCCATTCCCGTTTCCTCTGCCCGCTGAGGTGAGGCGGGTAGCTACCAAGGAGTGGGGTTTCTCAGTGGCTGCTTCCAATTGTGGAATGCCCTCGCCAGAGATACTTGCCGGGTGCCTGCATGGGGCCGTTTGGCACCAGCTTAGGCTGTTGGGCGCTACAGTAACACGAAAGTGAATCCTCGGTATGAGCAGCCCCTGGGTGGGGTTGAGGTCCTGGAGACTTGCTGGGGGTCTCTGTGGGTGAGTCCTCCCAGGGTGGGGCTCTCTCCCCAGCTGTTTCTAGCAGCGTTTCTCAACCTGGTGTGCTCCAGATGTGTTGGACTGCAACTCCCATGATTCTCAGCTGGCGTGGCCTTTGCATCAGTCACGTGGTATATTTCCATACAGTTAAAGCTGGCACCAAAAAGGCCCGGCTGGTGTGGAAGGATGGGAGTGGCAGTCCGCCGGGGTGGGGTGAGGGGTTGCGAGCTGCCCAGAGAGCATCCCCAGAGGTGGTATAGAAATTCAGTAAATGACTGATGATGATGATGAGGATACATCCAGAGAGTATCAGATTCCACCTACCTGAAGCAGCCTGCCCACCCGCTGAATTCGGCATTAGGCAGCTTCCTGAATGGGGGCTGGGGCCGCAGTGCTGTGTGCAGGGGTCTGGGTTTCCTCCCCATTGCCCACCAAGGAAGGCCGTTTCCCATGTCCTCTCTCCCCCTCTCACGCTTGATGCCTTCAGAGTTCGTCCGGATGATGTCGCGCTGAAGACCGTTCTTGGGCTGGAAGCAGATCGGCATCCGAGCGGAGCGTCTGGCCCCGATGTTCCTATGCAAGGGCTGCTGCACTGGGTGTGCTCAAAGGGTGTGAGCCCATAGCCTGCCTCTGATCCAAACAGCCCCGATGCTCCTTCACCCCTCCGCACTGTGAAAGACTCCAAAGCTCCTGCAATGGAACCGCTCTGGGGAGAAGCTTGCAGCAGGGAAGCTGTGCTCCAGGGCCACCTGCAATTGCTGGCACACGAGGCCCCTTCCTCTCCTCTGCCTCCCCCCCCCCCCCCGCATTTACTCTTCCAGCAAGCGCTGCAAAGGAAGGCGCGGGAGCAGGAGGGTTCCTCTCGAGCGGGTGGCGTGTGGTACGGCCGCCTGGGACTGGCGCCTGCACTGACCTCGCTCTGTGCCCATTTCTCCCCCTTGTGTGTCCCTCCTCTAAAGAGTTATTTCTGCTCCTTCTGAACTATTCTTCTGTCTCCCTGTGGTCAATGAGCGCAAATACACGTTTGAAAGTAAAGGAGGAGAATCGCAGGAGCTTAGCTTGGTAAGAGGAGAATTGTGGATGGAAGGACAGCGTCGTGCATGAGCAGCAGCACCGGCCAGTTGCTCTCAGCCCACCCAGACCAGAGACTGGCCTGCAACATGGGACTCACTGTCTCACACGCCCAACATCCAAAGGCAACCCCACCCCCACACACCCCTTTCCTGCATGTGTACGGCACACAAGTCAGCACTCGGGATCGTATGGGGCACCCCCACAGTCAGGAGGCACTTGACCGAGCCACGCTGAGGGCACGTGGGTGGAGGGAGGGTGGGGTGCATCACCTTCTCTGGCCCCGAGAAGCACACGGATGCCTGGCCAGGCACATGCATCCTGGCAACCTAGATTGCCCTTGCCATGCTGCCAGCAGTTTCGATCAGGAAGAGGAGCTTTTTCGCACAGACTAAAACCAAGCTCATCCTGCAAGGCAGCACCGTCCACAGCCCAGAGGGTGGGATCAGCAGGATCAGAGGCCCAAGATTTCAAAGTGCCCAAAGTCTTTAGGAAAACAATCTTAAAGATTTGTGTGTGATGGGAGGGAACTGCTAGAACATAAGGCCCCATCGAGTTTCCTGCCTGCTCCGTCCATGGCTTGTGGCATGCAAGTGGTCCAAGGCAGGCCTGGTGCACTCAGCCACAGGGCACTCAGCACCGAGAGAGCGACTGGCGGTCTGCCTGGGCTAGACTTGCCTTCTTTGCAAATGCGCTGCCTGAGCATCCGCAGCAAGCAGCACATGCTCATTCAAGGTCAGGCATCCCTGGTCTGGCCAACTTCAGGCTTGCAAGATCTTATCCCCTGCCTCCCTTTTCTTTTTGCTGGAACCCAGAGAACCACTGACCAGAGGTGGGTGCAAAAGACGGACACACCGGATCGGGGAACGCAGAGCCAAGGATCCGAGTGCCAGCGCCGAACGCAGCTCATAGTGCGCCCACACAGCTACGCTCCTTGCTTTAGCAACGCAATTGAGGAGTCTTGGGAAGGCGCCCATTTGGGAATCAGAAATCCTTGCTGATGGACGGCACATCCCCCCAAGATCTACTAGTAGATCCAAATTTGCCACCCGTCCCCAGCCTGTCTGTCCTACCTCAGGCTCGCCTCATGCACCACCTCGCAACCTGCCCCCGGCCCCTTCAGCCAGCTCAAAGGGGGCTCTCCATCTCTCGAGGGACGGGCTGCTGTCCTCGCCCGCCGTCTTGGCTGCTGGGAAGGGCTCCGCCGGCTGCTGCCCAAGCAGAGGCGCCCCCCCCCCCCCAGCCCCGGGGCCATCTGAACAGCATTACGGCGAAGCGGTGCACTGGGGCCCCCACGACAACTACAGCTGCTGTTGATGTGGGAAGTTTTCCCATTTTCCAAGGGGTAACGTGCACGGATTAGTATGGGGCCCACGGGCAAGTGCCCATCAGGCCCGTGCGTTCAGACGGCCCTGCCCAGCCCCGTGTGCAGCAGGCAACCGGGGCTCCGCGGCTGCGTCGGAGCGCTTGCCCGGCCTGCTCTTCCCGTTCCGCGGGCCGGCGCTGCCCGCCTGGGCTCCCTCCTGCGAGCGCGGCTGCTTGGCGCGCCCGCTCTGGCTCCCGCGGCTCCCGCGCCACCCGCAGCCGGCCAGCCGCTGCCCCGCCGGAGCCCAGCAGGTGGCGCCCGCACAGGCCCGCGGGGCCGCCCTGGCCCTGGCCCTGCAGGGCCCCGCCACCAAGGCCCAAGGCGCGACTGCAGCGGCGTCCGCGGAGGGCCGGTGCGCGCCCCGCCTCGCTCGCTCGCACGCTGCCGGGCACGGCTGGCGCCCGAGAGGCAAACCGGCCAGACCGTGCAGTCACCGTGCAAGTGTAATGCACACAAAAGCACGAGCACTGGAGAAAGCGCATCCTACCCGATTACCCGCTTCTGGAGGACACCAAGTGGGGGGCGGGGTTGTCCTGTGTGGGTCCATCGTTGGTCATTTCAGCATATTCATGCATTATGACATTTAATTATACAACCCAACAACAAATGTTAGTGCAGATTAAACCAAAAGGTCGTTAGACTAGAATTCATACCCAGTCCCAATAAATCCATATTCTGACTGTGCAGGGGCTGAAGTGACCGTATGAATGGCAATATTATATGGTTCATTTACCTTTTTCGTTGCCTTTAATGACATAATAAACATACAGAGTTCTTACTGTATGATCCAAATCTCTAAATCTCTTTGATATCTAAGTGATTTTTTAAAAAAACCAGTAACGAAGAGCGGTTTTCTCTGCTGGGCCCAAATCTGCCCCACCAAGCATACAGAGTGGGGAGATTTGCCGGAAGAGGGAGGAGCCTGAGCTTCACAGCCACAACCGCCACTTGTGGCAGCTGCTGCCGCACCTCCTGGCACGGGCACTGGGGGACGAGTGGCCGCCTTCTGCGGGCCTGTCCTGCATAGCAAGCTGTGCTTCAGTGCCTCCTGATGAGCCTTTTTGTCGGGAAAGGGGAACTATCTATCCCCACCCCCGCCACACGCACACACCACCAGCCGCGTCAGAAACCCAGCTGAGCGGCCACCAGAGCTGTGGTCTCCGGCCCCGAAACGTGCGCTCCCGTCTCGCTGAGGAAGGGCTGCTTCCAGAACGCAGAGGCTGTGACCTTTCGGAGGAAAGGCCTCCAGCCCTGACGGGGCTTCGGCGCTCTACCCCGAGGCATCATTTCCTGGGGAACCTTGCCGGAGCCCCACCTGCCGGCCCAGCCCGGCCCGGCCTCGTTCGCCACCTCGCAGCGCTTTGCCTTGCCACGGAGGAGTCCAGGCCCGTCGACTTGACGGCGACCTCTTGGGCCTCCCTGGGCGAGGCGACGGGGACACCAGTGTGCATAACCTTTGCCACACGAGGGTATGCAAGTGTCTGCACAGAGGTGCACATTTTAATAATAATGAACAAAACTGCAGCACATCTGAACAGAGTGGAGAAACCTGCCAAGGTGACCCCAACGGGCCTCTCCGGCCATGAGCTCCCGGAGGGCCACAGCTGGGCTCCCGCCTGCCCTTCCCATGAGCAGGCTTGGATAGGGCAGCCTGTCAGTGTGGAGCATGGGTCCTCAAACTAAGGCCTGCAGGCCAGATCTGGCCCACCCCAGGGGTTTTGCATTCGCTCTGCCTGCAGGCGCACAGCTTGCTCATGAGGAGGTCATTTTAGACTTGCGCGGAGAAAGCCAGCACCTCGTCATGCGCCCCCCCCCCCCCGCCAGCACTGCTTTGGCGGCCCGCACCCACCGCTGGCACCTGTCGACTGGCCCCCTGTTGAAAGTTTGAGGACCCCTGGTGTAGCGCCTCGGTCAGCTCTCCCGCACAGAGGACTGCTCTCTGCAAAGCAGGGCACCTGGCCACCCTAGTCCGCTGTGTTCGAGGTCTCTCTGAGGCGCACAGGCTCACCCCGGGTGTGAAATCGCAGCCACCCACAGCCTGCAGCCGGCTTGGCAAACACGCCCCCCTTTCTGGGCCAGGCTGGCACAGCCGAGGGCTGCCGGGACACGGCTCCACCTTCCCCTGCAAGCCGCGGAAGCTCTCCGCGTCACTCCATCTCAGCGAGCACAATTAAGTGGAGAGAGGCCGTTTTCTTGGAAAGGGAGGTTTGGGGATTAAACTTTCGATCTAATCATCTCATTGCAGGGATAATTCCTCCTCTCCTCCCTCAGCCAGGAGGGCTTCCGGCAGCCCCCAGGTGGTCCTGGAGAGACGTGTGGCAGCCCTGGCACGGCTCCAGATGCAGCCTCTCCAGGCCCACTCAGCTGGTGCCTGCTCCTCGCCGGGCCAAGCAGCATGTGCCAGTCGTTACAATGCAGCCCCGTGTAGGTTCTGGACTGCAGTTCCTCCTGCCCTCGGGAGGGCCTCGCTCTTTGCCCATGCTTACGGTTGCAGCTGCACATCTTCTGGGCGTGTGCCGGTGAAGGACTTCCTAGCTCCATTTTCTACCAGCACCACAAAGTCTTTTTGTGGTAGAAACTCTAACAGAACCCCGCCTCCTCTTTGTGGGCATCGCGCATCACACATGCAGGCTCTGCACACGCATGGGACCTCTTTTGGGAAGGGTGCACACCTAAGACGTGTTCAGTGGGGCCCCTCCCCACCCCACACTGGCACAAGGGGGGGGGGTCCTGCCAACCCTCAGTCCTTCAACCACCATCTTGGTTGCATCGGAAGTTCCTTCGCCGCTCCGCGTGGTGATGTGTGTGTTCTCTTGCCCATTGTCCTCCCCCCCATATTTTGCCCCCTTTCCTTGGCCTTTACTAGACTATCTCTACGTGACCCTCCTCTCCACTTGCCTACCTCCTAAGAAACATTGCACAAAAATATGACTGCCTGTTCTCCCATCTCTCCTCGCTTCTCAATTAATTTTTTCTCCTCGTCTCCCTTTCTCCTTCCGGAGCACCTGCCTGTAATGGTGCTCACGGCCCCATCCAGGGAGCGCACGAACAACGGGAGAAGACCCCTGCGCAACGG